GTTTATCTCTATCTATAATAATATTCAAGATAATAACCAAAAACGGCAAAATTTCCTTAAAATTACCAATTCAGGGGCAGCAACCCAACAACGGGTTGTCCCATTCATCTGAAAATTTCAGGGCAGATAGATCTTGACCTGATAAACAATTTTACCCCCTGTCAGATTTGCTCTAAATGCTTTGGTTTCAGAGATATAAGCCAAAATCTACATTTTACCTCTATGTTCTATTTTTAGCCATAGCGGCCATCTTGGTTGGTTAGCCGTGTCACCGGACACATTTTAAAAACTAGATACCCCAATGATGATTGTGGCCAAGTTTGGTTAAATTTGGCCAAGTAGTTTCAGAGGAGAAGATTTTTGTAAAAGTTAACAGACGACGGACGACGATGGACGACGGACGCCAAGCGATGAGAAAAGCTCACTTGGCCCTTTGGGCCAGGTAAGCTAAAAAGTTATTGTTACATTGGAGACTAATTGCCGGAATGCAGGGTTGGGTAAGGAACTCATTAATTACCAATGTAACAATAATATTTGTGTCTATGGTTATGTTGTGTTATTGTTACGTTAATGCACTTCAATGTATGCTGGGACTTGTAATATCTATAATACTAAAATAACAAGGTCCGATTTGTCAGCCAGCATGGGGTAAAAATGACGAATCAAAGAATTCAACTTTATATATAACTAATATAGGCCAATGGTGTTGATTAAAAATTACACCATTCCAGGCCCTTTTGTTTTCCACATAATTAATATTGCCAATAATTAACAAGTTCCGGGTCGAATCTGATACTGATACCAATAGTATTTGTCACCTGTTACCTATTACATAATCTGTACGTTTCGCATCTGTCAGGCACACCACCAAACGGTGCAATTAGGATTTGCTATATACACAGGTCATAATCACACCTAAATAGCTTAGTCATTATAAAGGATTGACATTACTAAATTCAATCATTGTCACATTGTTTCCGGTTGTAGTTTTTTAAGTCAGTATGACTTTATAAGATCACAATATGAATACTTAAAATCCAGACTTAAAATAAGGCGTAGGTACAGTTTCCAATGTGTAAGCCGGCATGATGTAAAAACGGCAAATCAAAGACTTCAACTTGATATATAACTAATATAGGACAATGGTGTTCAACTGTTGATTAAAATTTACACCATTCCAGGCCCTTTTGTTTTTCCAAATAATTAATATTACCAATAACTAATAAGTTCCAGGTCAACGTGTTTAAACAGAAAGATTTTAAAAGCAGATAAACCGTGCATCTAGTAATCAGATGACAATACCAATAATAAAATCCAGGCTAAGAAGAAGGTTTATACATAATCAGATACTTTAATTCAGTCACGGACCCGCTATGCCGCAGGTGTGTTCAAGTGTATTAAAATAAAACTTGAAAATTTTTATTTGAATTTTACAATATTGCATACAATTTTTTAAATTTTATTTACAACAGCAGTTTCTACTCATCCAGTATGTTGTTTTGGGAGCATTTTTCAGTTTGAAGCATTTTTTGGGTGAAACCACTCTAGCCGGGCAGCCTTCACAAACGAGTGATGCAGCAATGTGCACGTCGGTTTTGCGGACTTTACAATTCCACTCTGCAATATCCGTGTTTGAACTAGAACTGCGTTTGTACAACTGTATAAAATTTGAGTCTTGATATTATTTTAGTTTCGATTCAAACGCATCCCAAGTTTTAAATTGTTCACCCAAAACAAATTTTGTAATAGGAATCACTTCATCTATTGTTCAAAGTATATTGACAGTAATAAAGGTAGTAGTGCATTTAAATACATAGAGGTGAACACTTTTCTTCTTAACATTGATCTACAGTACTATATTTTTCAGCACTATTAAAATTTTAGTAGTATCTTGAAGAACATTAATACAATTTATACTTAAAACTATTTAAAAACACTATTTGTTAAATAATAATAATAATATCATTATTATTATTATAAGACCGCAAAAAAATTTTTGCGTCGTATAATGCTATCATTTCGTCGTCTGCATCGTCCGAAGACACATTTAGTTTCCTGACAATAACTTTAGTTTAAGTGAATGGATCTCTATGAAATTTTACCATTAGGTTCAATACCATTTTATTTTGGGGGTTATGGCACCAACAGTTAAGGAATAAGGGGCCAAAAAGGGGCCAAAAATAAGCATTTTTGTAACTTCCAGACAATAACTTGTGTGTTAGTGTATGGATCTCTCTGACATTGTACCACAAGGTTCCATATCACAAAGGGAATGCTGGGATTGATTTTGGTGGCAATTGCCTCAAAATTTTAGGAATTAGGGGACAAAAAAGGGACAAAAAACAAGCATTTTTCTAGTTTCATGACTATAACTTGTGTGTAAGTGTATGGATCTTTCTGAAATTGTACTACAAAGGTTCCATATCACAAAGGGAAAGCTGGAATTGAGTTTGGGGGTAATTGCCCAAAACGATTAGGAATAAGGGGCCAAAAATAAGCATTTTTCTAGTTTACAGACAATAACTTGTGTTTAAGTGTATTGATCTCTCTGAAATTGTACTGCAAGGTACCATAACACAAAGGGAAGGCTGGGATTGAGTTTGGGGGTAATTGCCTCAAAATTTTAGGAATTAGGAGCCAAAAAGGGGCATTTTTCTAGTTTCAGGACAATAACTTGTGTGTAAGTCTATGGATCTTTATGAAATTGTACTACAAGGTTCCATATCACAAAGGGAAAGCTAGGTTTGAGTTTGGAGGTAATTGCCCTAAACGTTTAGAAATTTGGGGCCAAAAAAAAGCATTTTTAAAGTTTCCAGACAATAACTTGTGTTCAAGTGTATGGATCTCTCTGAAATTGTACTGCAATGTACCATACCACAAAGGGAAGGTTGGGATTGAGTTTGGGGGTAATGAATCATAAGGGGTTCAAAAAATTGGGATGGGGGGGATTTTTTTTTTTCCTTTTTTTTTTCTTTAAAGTTTTCCATTCTAAGTTGGTTATTTTTGATTTACTGTGGATTCATTTATTTTCGTGGGTATCAATTTTCGTGGATAGAGAAAAAAAGACGTTTCGTGGTATACGTAAATTCGTGTATCGCTGATTACAACAAAAAAAATTCAGATACGTAATTCGTGGATTTCTTTTTAATTTAGATCATATAACCTCCTTGGTTTCATCAATAATAAAACAAACAAAAAAGAAGGAATTAATTGAAAAAGTTTTGAATTGTCAAAATCCTTTATTGGTCATTCTAGGTTAAAGTGTTCATTGAAAACTTCTATTACAATAATGGACAGAGACAACTAATTATTTGTTTGTTTTACAATTTATAATTTCTTGTCGGAATTTTATAAGGCATTCAAGACTCAATGATTGAAAGCTCATTTCCCTAATCACGATATAATAAACAGTCATATAAGTAAAAGGTGTGAAAATAAATGTTCCTGTCATAAGCAATAATACCTACGGGCAATATCCCCGTACTTAATCCTATTGATTTTTAATTACCAGTAAACCAAACTATGACACGGTAATTAACAACTTGCAGTTATTTCCCATGAACAGTTTTAATCAATTTTAAAAAGTAAATTATCACTGATATTCGATATATTTATTATTGATTTAATCCAAAATACTTGTATCTTCTTTCAATAAAAACATGTGTTGTGTTACAATGTTTATCGCTAGTCAACACTATACTAGAACTGCATAACATAACCGGAAATAAACATCCGACTCCATACACATTTCTCGGGATTATTCTTCGTTGAATTCTTAAATTCGTGGTTCGCTGTGACCCACGAAACCCACGAAAATTGGTATACCACGAATAAAAATGAATCCACAGTATATATAAAAGCAAATAATAATGATATGGTTTGGTTTCATCAAAAATTGAAATATTGGGGTTCTTTGATATGCTGAATCTAACCGTGTATTTAGATTCTTAATTTTTGGTCCCGTTTTCAAATTGGTCTACATTAAGGTCCAAAGGGTCCAAAATTAAACTTAGTTTAATTTTAACAAAAAATGAATTCTTGGGGTTTCTTTGATATGCTGAATCTAACCATGTATGTATTTAGATTTTGGATATTGGACCATAATAGGTAAATTAAAATATTTTAAGTTCTTAGACCACATTCATTCTGTGTCAGAAACCTATGCTGTGTCAAATATTTAATCACAATCCAAATTCAGAGCTGTATCAAGCTTGAATGTTTTGTCCATACTTGCCCCAACTGTTCAGGGTTCGACCTCTGCGGAGCATTTTATTATTATTATTATTATTATTATTATCAAGTACATATCGAAGAATTAAGCAACGAAACTATAGAAGGTTAAAGTTTATTAATATAACGTAACAATAACACAACGTAACCGTAGACACGAATATTATTGTTACATTCGTAATTAATCAGTTCCTTACCCAACCCTGCATTCTGGCAATTAGTCTCCAATGTAACAATAACTTTTTTATTATTGTTACATTTCAATGTAACCGTAGCCAGTGCCTAATTAAAATTTTGCCTTTTTCAGCAACCCATTTATTCTTACAACAGGTAAAGAAGTAAATATTTAATATCATTACAAAAAACGTACTTTTATGGACCGGGACCCCATAAGTAAAATCCAAAAATGTCGGGACCCCTAGAGTAAAAGAAGGCCAAAATCAGGGCGAACAGACCTAGAGCTAGGTGAATCAGGCCGAACAGACTTGGGTAGTGATGTTTCCCTTGGTCTAGAAGATATACAACCATCCTGCATGAATGGCATACTCCTTTGGCACAGTCGGCAGAACGGTACAGAGGTGGCTTACTGTGCCAAGGCGATCACTTTATCAGTTTATGGTAGTGATAAATTTTTGGAATGAAAATTATTGTCATATCGACATACTGTTACAAATTAACCTTTGAATACTTGTGCATAAAATGACAAGCAGTTACATAGTGAGATATTGACATTGTATTTAGGTTTTAATTTTTCCTATTTTGTCATTTACGTGTAACTGGTTTTTGTTTTTCCTCAGACTGTTTCATTTTCTGTTGCCGGATAATGCCGTGTCTGGTTCCTTATCGATCGGAACCCAGTCGAAGGCGATCTACCTTAATACCGCAGAAAGATAACCGATAACGTCCTTTCAGTCTATCTATCTATCTATCTTCATATTTCCGCACTCAGTCACAACTTTGACTATTACGTGCCGTCTGCAAATAAACGTACTGTAGATGTAAGACCAGTTGGAATGTCGTTAATATAATACAGGAAGAGACTTGGTCCAAGAACTGACCCCTGTGAAACCCCTGACTCAAATGCAACATACTCAGATTTTTCCCCCTCTAGAACTACTGCCTGTTTACGATTGCTTAGAAAATTTTGTATCCAGTAATTTAATTCCCCTTGTATCCCGCAATGGTGAAGCTTATTAGTTAGAAGAAAATGTGAAACTTTATCGAATGCTTTAGAAAAAGAAAAAGTTCTTTGTACAGAGTGAACTTTAATATTTAATTTTGAAAAGTACTTCGAAAATGTCAACATAAAAGAACCAAATTATTACTCATACAGTTAACAGTAATAATATTTGAGATACATAATCGTTTAAAAGCATTAATGAGTCCAAGTGAAAATAAGAACTTGTAAAATGTAATAAAAATTAGAATATTGAGTATCAACTTGTAGCAATATTATAAAACTCATATCAAAACATGTAGTTGAAATTACTTTTAAAAAATCAGTCTCAGTCTAATCATGGCCTACATGCATGCATAAGAATAAAAATCTCAGAAATTTAAACAGTATGTTAAAGTTAAAAATCTCATTGCATATAAATTTCATAAAACATTATATACAATCTTACAAAATCAATCACATAGCTTCAAAATCAAAAATGTTTAAATCAAATTTGCTTTTGAAATAATAGTATAGGTTCCTTTAAACAAAATCGTTTTTTAACGGCAAAATTAAATTGGCTTCCGCTTACCTAGAGCCGGCAAAATAGCCATTGCCTAATAAAAATGCTTTATTTCAATCTTGAATAAATAGATAATTTATAATTCACCGTTTCAATAAACATTTCCCCCGTTTCCCATCAAATTATTTGACACGATGAGTTCAATCTGAGTATAAATACACAAATCTGAGCTAGACTACTTATAATAGCATGTATTATTGTGGTCTGAGCACGAACCAATAAACCGCAAATTGTGACAAGTATGTACAGTTTGACGAAATATCAATCATGTTTGTTCAAAAATGTTATCATGCTAGGTTATTTCTTGGAACTAATAACTCAATGACGGAATACATAGGTATAAGTCTCAGATATTACCGTGATATTACACCATTCAGAAACATAAGTGTTTTTTCTTACTCTTAAAATCATAGGCGTTTCTTCAGCCTCAGGCATAAAAAAAATTGCCAGCATCATAACACAGGTTAACACAACTTTGGCCTTATTATCTATCTAATTTTGTTTTACTCATATAATTCAAATTCAGATCTATCACAACTCGCGTGTTCCTTTTATAAGGATAGCGAAGTCAGAGATATATATCTTAGTTAGATTGATCTTGCAGAGACATAATTATTATAATACAATATTATATGTATTATATGGCTCTGATTCTTGCTTGCTTAAAGTTCATTATATGGCTCTGGTTCTTGCTTGCTTAGTTCAGTTGCAAAATTTTCATACATATCCAAGACGAGAACAAATTAACAATTGAAACGATAGGAAGGTTCTGTACGGTATATTTCGACATGGGATGAAGTGCGGGAAAATTTATAAAGCTACTGCAAAATGAGGGTATGCTGGATAGGGGTAAAACTTTTGCCAATTGTAATAGGCTACATACGTACCCTCCATAGAGTTGTTGTAGAGGTTCTTCAACGTGCAGTGGCACTGGCCCTGCATATAGAAATAAAAGTATAAAGAAATTTTCGTTACCATGAAATCGAATTAAAAGTTTTGAGATCGAATCATAGTACTCAAAATGTTATCAATTTGGTTCTGATGACAGATTTGTTTATAGTCTCCGTTGAACTCACTCACAAGTTGTCTAGGCGGGCCACGATTAAGATGTGGATTCTCAATGGAATACCTCAACAAGTTATTTGTTATATTCAGATGGGATCTAGATGTCATTATACTCTTAAGGTGGCTCGGCCCTTTAAAAGTGCGCATGTAGTATATATCACGCTATAGCGCTGGACGCAGTTACGAGTGTCCTCATATAGTTATGCGTATCTTCATATAGTTAGACGTATATTCAAAACAGTTGCGGGTACTATTATAATTATAACAACAATCGTTGCCATTGTAATAACATTTCAGTTACAGAATGCCGTTTTCCCCCACGCGAATATACAAAAACCCTCGCATGAATTCATAGGTATGATTTACTTGTGTCCAATCCATTCTACTTTGAGTAAATACAATATGTTAAACTAAACTAAAGAATACTTGATAATCAGTATATTTTATGCAACTAACACGAATAACAAAACTATTCTGCGCTATGGTGACGTCACCCTTTATCCAAGCCAAGAAATTGCCTCCGTTGAAATTTTGCAAACATCCCATAGAGCAAATTACATGGATGATTAATTTTGACCATTTGGTATATGGCTGTGTTTTAAGTGAGGGTCATAAATTAATTTATTGAATGAAATCAAATCTTTAACTACTAATGGATGCCGTGGGAGGTCGACCGGAATTTTTAGCGAGGATTTCTTGGCATGTAACAGATAGAAAACTCAGGGTAAACATTCATAGAACCGAGACAAGGGGCAGTGGCAAATATTTCATGTATATTTTGAACACAAAGAGGATTACCCCGGTACCCTTTGCCAAACATAATCTTTTTTTTCTTCAATTTGCCAACGGACTTTATGTTATGAATTGTAGTTTCACTTTCCATATTCGGTATTTATTCTAATTTAAGCTCCACGTAGTAAAAATCACGTGATTCAGGAATATAGTATCTTGGATTTAGACTATTTCTTTCTTTTCGGGCGGGGGCTCCAAGCAATCAACATGCATGTGTATAACGGCACTGTAGATTTTCTTATAAAACTCATATCAAAACATGTAGTTGAAATTACTTTTAAAAAATCAGTCTCAGTCTAATCATGGCCTACATGCATGCATAAGAATAAAAATCTCAGAAATTTAAACAGTATGTTGTAAAAAAAATTAAAGTTAAAAATCTCATTGCATATAAATTTCATAAAACATTATATACAATCTTACAAAATCAATCACATAGCTTCAAAATCAAAAATGTTTAAATCAAATTTGCTTTTGAAATAATAGTATAGGTTCCTTTAAACAAAATCGTTTTTTAACGGCAAAATTAAATTGGCTTCCGCTTACCTAGAGCCGGCAAAATAGCCATTGCCTAATAAAAATGCTTTATTTCAATCTTGAATAAATAGATAATTTATAATTCACCGTTTCAATAAACATTTCCCCCGTTTCCCATCAAATTATTTGACACGATGAGTTCAATCTGAGTATAAATACACAAATCTGAGCTAGACTACTATAGCATGTATTATTGTGGTCTGAGCACGAACCAATAAACCGCAAATTGTGACAAGTATGTACAGTTTGACGAAATATCAATCATGTTTGTTCAAAAATGTTATCATGCTAGGTTATTTCTTGGAACTAATAACTCAATGACGGAATACATAGGTATAAGTCTCAGATATTACCGTGATATTACACCATTCAGAAACATAAGTGTTTTTTCTTACTCTTAAAATCATAGGCGTTTCTTCAGCCTCAGGCATAAAAAAAATTGCCAGCATCATAACACAGGTTAACACAACTTTGGCCTTATTATCTATCTAATTTTGTTTTACTCATATAATTCAAATTCAGATCTATCACAACTCGCGTGTTCCTTTTATAAGGATAGCGAAGTCAGAGATATATATCTTAGTTAGATTGATCTTGCAGAGACATAATTATTATAATACAATATTATATGTATTATATGGCTCTGATTCTTGCTTGCTTAAAGTTCATTATATGGCTCTGGTTCTTGCTTGCTTAGTTCAGTTGCAAAATTTTCATACATATCCAAGACGAGAACAAATTAACAATTGAAACGATAGGAAGGTTCTGTACGGTATATTTCGACATGGGATGAAGTGCGGGAAAATTTATAAAGCTACTGCAAAATGAGGGTATGCTGGATAGGGGTAAAACTTTTGCCAATTGTAATAGGCTACATACGTACCCTCCATAGAGTTGTTGTAGAGGTTCTTCAACGTGCAGTGGCACTGGCCCTGCATATAGAAATAAAAGTATAAAGAAATTTTCGTTACCATGAAATCGAATTAAAAGTTTTGAGATCGAATCATAGTACTCAAAATGTTATCAATTTGGTTCTGATGACAGATTTGTTTATAGTCTCCGTTGAACTCACTCACAAGTTGTCTAGGCGGGCCACGATTAAGATGTGGATTCTCAATGGAATACCTCAACAAGTTATTTGTTATATTCAGATGGGATCTAGATGTCATTATACTCTTAAGGTGGCTCGGCCCTTTAAAAGTGCGCATGTAGTATATATCACGCTATAGCGCTGGACGCAGTTACGAGTGTCCTCATATAGTTATGCGTATCTTCATATAGTTAGACGTATATTCAAAACAGTTGCGGGTACTATTATAATTATAACAACAATCGTTGCCATTGTAATAACATTTCAGTTACAGAATGCCGTTTCCCCCCACGCGAATATACAAAAACCCTCGCATGAATTCATAGGTATGATTTACTTGTGTCCAATCCATTCTACTTTGAGTAAATACAATATGTTAAACTAAACTAAAGAATACTTGATAATCAGTATATTTTATGCAACTAACACGAATAACAAAACTATTCTGCGCTATGGTGACGTCACCCTTTATCCAAGCCAAGAAATTGCCTCCGTTGAAATTTTGCAAACATCCCATAGAGCAAATTACATGGATGATTAATTTTGACCATTTGGTATATGGCTGTGTTTTAAGTGAGGGTCATAAATTAATTTATTGAATGAAATCAAATCTTTAACTACTAAT